CTGAGCTGGGTGGCTTAGTTGCGAAGCTCTCGTCGTCCTTCTGGACAACATCTTTTTAAACACAGTAAATACCAAAAGTGCCAGGGAATTCCTGAAAGCCTGATACTCAAACGAATATGGAATTAACAAACATGTTAATATAGACCAAATTTACCAAGTAGTAAAAAGTAAATCAGGTGACCAGAAAGTTTAAAATCCAAGTCAATAGAAAGTGTTCAATACATATGTAAAGATGGTTGTTACCAGGAGACGCAATTATATCACTCACGAAGAAATTTAAATCATTTCACTTTATGCTAAAAATTGTGCTGAAAAAATTGTCCAGAAAGACGATGAAAGCTCCGCAACTAAACCAACCAGCTCAGAGAACACTATTAACTGCAAGCAATAAAGCGTCTCAAGTTAAAAATATGCACAGTATACCACAATCTTAAAATATACCTAAGAATCATGAAGAATATGCCCAACAAAATGGGACCCGAACTCTGTCTGCAAGACTCAGTAGAAATGGTTTAGACAAAACTCATGACTTAATAAACAACATCTTCAACGACATCAATACCACAAGAGAAGAGTAACCTGAAGGGGAAATTTCATTTCTGGATCTCTTAGTCTTGCGAATAAACACAGGGGAATTGGAAACTCAAGTTTACAGAAAATCAACCCACACAGATCAAATACTCAATTACAACAGCAACAATCCAATAACACACAAAAGGAGTTGAATACAAACATTATTCAAGAGGTCCAGAACTCATCGCAGCACTTCTACCTTAAGGAAAACTGAAGAAAGATACCTCATGGACGTCTTCCAAAAAATGGATATCCACGAAACTCCATCAAAAGATATGTACCCCTTACCCAACCAACTAAATCAAGGGCTTGAACAAAGCAAGAACTACAGTTTTTGCAGAATAAAGTGATACCCAATGAAAACTGTCTTACCATATATAAGGAATGTCTCTGAAATCACTGCAAGAATTCTCAAACCTTCAGGAATTGACGTCGCACACATACCAACAAAATCACTTCACTTAGCTCTCTCTATGTCGACAAAAAGACTCAACAATGGAAGAAGACAAAACCAACATCATCTACAAAATAAGTTGCAACAACAGTGAAAAACACTACATGGGCCAGAGTCGATATCCTCTTCTCCTTTTCATCCACGAACATAAACTGGCTGTCGAAAGACACCATATCCACTCCGTCATATCGCTGCATAGAGACAAACAAAGACATCAGTTCTACTGGGACAACGTTCAGATATTAGACAGAGGAAACACCAAGAATGGCAGAGAATTTTTAAAAAGCTGTTATTCCACTGATTCAGCAGTCAAGAGACACGTTTACATTGACAAAATTTACCAACCGATAAGAAGGAAATCTGATACATAGAAAGTGAAACTTCAGGTCAAGGAAACAATCAGTACCAATATAAGTAGCCTAGAGGATGTGGAAACACGCAAAAACAACCAATCACAACGTTCAAAGTCACCCACCAGGATAAGATTTTATTTTGATAAATCACACAGTGTAGTACAGTTATATTAACTGATGACGTTTCGAGCACAAACTATTGCTCATAATCATATCAACTTGATATGATTATGAGCAATAGTTTGTGCTCGAAACGTCATCAGTTAATATAACTGTACTACACTGTGTGATTTATCAAAATAAAATCTTATCCATTATGGAATTATACTCTACCACAGTGCCCAAGTTTTATACTTATATCAATCACCCACCAGGAGAGATGACTAATAAACTCGTGGAGAAATATAAAGTTCACTTCAAATTGAAGTATGCGCTCTGAAGATGTTGCCTAGTAGGCGGCAATAAAAGCTTCGCAAATAAACCATCCAGCTCAGAGAACACAACTGCATCAAAATTATCCACTTGAGCTACACATCTTCTACATTATATCTATATATGGGATTTCAATTCAAAGGTGACGTACCAGATGATAACTGGTGAGTTAAGAAAGTCGATAAAGGTAATTAGCAGCTGACATTTACCAGTTGTAATTCCTCAACTGAAAAAAGCAGATGAAATATCAACGCTAGTTGCACCAGTTCAACTACCCTCGAACAGTTAGTGTTATGTTGGGAAACACCTATCAGTGTAGCAGGGTGAACGTTGACTCAAAGCTATTTATAATTTTTTAATATATTAGACAATTTTGTTCCATCAGGTTATAATGATAATGTCGAAGAGTCTTTTCTATCATGTAGTGGGTACCAAATGAATTGCTACAAGGCCTCTCTCTACATTACCGAATACTTCAAACGGTAGAAGCTTTTATAATTCTTTAATAGTTACCACAGATTTACGGACAAAATAAACAGATCCGAACACTATTCCTACCCTGATCTACTGTGGAACCTATTAATCCAAACATTTTACATTATTTATTGAAACAATCAGTTCCATTTTTGAATTTAGACAAACCAATAAGAAGACATAATTTCTCTGAATCGTGTGATGTGCATATTTGCGCACAACACATTTCAAACAATCTGGCTACACACAGACTTGTCATAGGAATGCATATATATGAAATTAATAAAGAGTTAGGATGTGAGAAAATAGACTTAGGTCAAGTTAAAAGGACATAATGAAGGTCAAAATAACAACGAAGATTTTTATTAGTTGGTTTGTAAGGATTCAATTTGTTTTTACGAGTTGATCACGGATTGATATCACTTAGACAACCATCGAAAACCAGACACAGGGAGTACTGGACAGCTGTTTCATCCCAGTTTGAGAATCATCGGCAGGACGCTCCAACCAAACGGGGTTCGAACCCAGAACCTTCCGGTTGCAAGGCAAGTTAGCTCATATGCCATTCAACCACTGGGAATCGATTCAGTAACCAGCCCATGAATTCTAACTTCTACCAATTTGTGATTTTTAGTGCGACCACCAACCAATTTCATCGGCGGGAAATCCATCCTTACACTTGACTGGATGCAACTCAATGGTCACGACTTCTTACTAGAACTCCAGACAACTCCATCCTGTAGCAAGTCACTAGCGAGTATCAGACTAATTTTCTATAGCTGGTTTGTAAGGATTAGTTTTGTTTTTATGAATTTGTAGAAGTTAGAATTCATGGGCTGGCAATTGAATAGAGTCCCAGTGGTTGAATGGTATACGAGCTAGCTTGCCTTGTAACCGGAAGATTCTGGGTTCGAACCCTGTGTGGTGGGTGTGTACTGACGATGATTCTTAAGCATTAGGACGACGGAAATAGCTGTCCAGTACTACAGTGGTGGTTTTCGATGGTTCTCTAACTGATATCAATCCGTGATCAACTCGTAAAAACACTGAAGATCCTTAAACCAAATAACAGAGGTAATAATACATCTACCCTGGCTGGTATCAAAACAAAGTTTACTATTTTCGAACGCATAAGGGTGCTTTGCACTTCTTAATTGCTATCTAGAAATTCCATAAACTTTAGGATACGCCTCAAACACGTTTTATAGATAGGTTTAAAAGATATGTAAATGTCACTTTTATGTCTTGTCTCCTCTGTAATATGTTTGGCAATAAAGGAGCTAGGTAGTCGTCTGTTCTCACTGTTATTGGGTTCTGGGGATTCCATTTGCTTCTGAAGCCATTGAGGAATAAGCTATGGTATTCATTTTCGTGTTATATATGGATGTATATCATAACTTGCAGGTGCTATCGAACTGTAATATATCCATATTATAGATTCAACGTTATTTAAAAAAACCAACATTAATATTTTTAATTACAATAATTATCTAGCTATTATGGATACGTATAACTGTAGAACCTGAGGATGAAGAAGTTATCAGAAAGAATATTCTCCAATTACTGACCTTAACTTTTTGAAAGCAACTGAATGATTGTTTCTTTTTTGAACAGTTAGGGGAATACTTGAGTGATTTCATCTGAATTGTGTTCATTTGTCATAAAAAAAATCAATAAAACTTTTAACTCAACAGTTTTACGTTGTTACTGTTTTTGTTACAAATTTTAATTTTAAACAAATGTCACCTAAATTTAGCTGACAATGGTTACAAAACCACTGGAAAACTACCAGGAAGAACTTCCAAACAGCTGTTTCGTCCTAGTGCTTTGCACTCCTCAGCAGTATGCATCCATCTCAAGGGATCGAACTCAGGAGCTTCTGGTTAAAGGACGAGAGATCTTGCAGTTCATTAAGCCACTAGGACCCAATCCAATGGCCAACCCATGAATTCAAATTTCTGCCAATTCACGATATAACGCGACTGTCACTAGCTAATGTCATCCGTGGAGAGTATTTGTTCTCACAAATGACCCTCTGTACCCCATTGGTCATGACTTCCCACTAGAACCCACGTAACTACCTGCCCGAACAAGCAGTAAGCATCAAACTTTTCCCGCTGGGTACGTGCTGATGAAGAGTTCAGGGTACTGGGACGAAACAGCTATCTATTAGCACTCCTAGCTGGTTTTCCAATGATTCTTTAACCGATATCAGTTCATGATGAAATCCTTTATCCAATCAAATGAAATCCCTCGAACCAGTACTTGAACAAATTTAGGAAGTTGAATACTGAAACCAAGGGTTAACAGTTCAGGATCGTCTAGGCCGATTCCCAGTTGAAATTACAAAATCACTCTGATGTCACTATCAATAAAAGACTGACTAAATGTCAAGATCCACTAAAGTACTGCATGCGGGTTTTCAGCCTCAAAGTGGTTTGGATCATAAAATCTCGGGTATTCAATCGCTAACATGGTAAACTTGGTTGTTGTAAACTTCATAACTCGACTGATGTCATCACAATGCGTCTTCTTAAAGAGTTCCTAATTAGGACGTCACTACACAGCAGTGCTTATACTGTCTACAGATCCTAAAAGCGGGTATTTACTCCTGTGACATTAGTATCTTTTTGCGCCAATTCAAATCTTCTGCAGAATGTACAGAATCAATAAATCAATATTTACATTTGTTTTATTTTACTTTCTATTTTTAGAAACATGTCCGATGAAAACTTTGAATTACCAGAATCTCAAGGGAATGTGCTATCGCCAACTGACCCATTAGCAGTGAAAACAAATGAAGAGGTGATTCTGACTCCAGCAGTATATTTACATTTCTCACAGTGACGTTTTTTCCTCATTACATAATCGGGCCTTTAATATTTCTGGCGTCAGTGACTCAGCTACACACATGGTCCTAGGCCAGTCCTTTACGACTGCGCTCTTAAACCTAGCCTAGTTTCTCGGTCAATAGTAAGTCCTGTAAAGTGGGAAGGTTGAGCGTGAGATCAGCTATCCTACCCAGTAAAATAAAACACTATCATTACTGAAATTTCCAAACTCAAGCCTGTAGCCACATGTTCTACTTTGAGTTCAGAGAAATGTAAATAAAAATCACTAATATTAGTGATGGAAGAAGAGAAAATGAACTTCACTGACAATGTTAACTTGATGGAGTTTGATTGACACTGAGGTGTAGACATTATGGCACTGCCTACTTCCAATCCCATGGGAAACCTTGTATTACTGGACAACTATTGAATACTAGCTGGGGACTGTTTAACAGGAATCTCTCTCAGCGAACCGATCCAGCAGGAAGCGATTGTGCAAGATATATGCAGGAAGAAATGGAGGTGGATTGGCAATCCTCTGAGAAAACAAACTATCAAGTGAGTGATATCATACGCCAGGCTGGTCGTCAGTGTGAGAGTGACATGGAGGAGGTCATGTGAAGAGGAGATGAAAGCATGTTGGGAAGTGTAGAGCCAGGTGAAAATGTTAGCAGAGAACCAAACGCAATGGTGATATGCGGCAGAAGCCCTATGTTCCTCTATGAGCTAAAGGAAACATTAATAATAATACTGTTTAACACTCTACACCCATGATCCCATCGGGACCAATATTACAGCTTTCAGGTTGTGAGTTTTGGCTCGGAAAGTCATGAACGGTGGGATGTGTGAGGGCAAGTACTCATTGATGACGCTTAGTAGCGAAACTGTCGGGAATTGGAACTGATTGACCGTTGAATCCTCTCCCAGTGACGAGATGGTCAAGAGACCCCTCGATTCACCTGTAAATCATAAGTTTTATTCTCACCAGGTTTATAGATGTGTAGTGCTAGAAAGACGCAAACAATGACAGAACAGCTCTTTAATGATGCATGGGTTTTAATCGTTTCTCTAACCCTTCTCAGTTCTTGATATAACTTGAAACTAACCAATCAAATCGTTAAAAATCAGCAATTGAAACTCTTACATCAGGTCAGTGGTGGCATGAATAGCCGAATAAGATCATTGGTCTCATAGGTGGCATATCTTTAAGACGTGTGTAAATAAGCATGAAACCTAGGTTGAGTCGTTCTTCTCGACAAACTCATCCCCTACACTCACCAACCACGTAACGCATGTTGAAATAATAACAGAAAAGATTTATAGCTCAGATGTATGCCTTTAGTATGGCTTTATTCTATAAGTCAGATAGTTTTACAGCGAACGCCTCATTATCATTCTAGACAGCATTTCCATTGGCCAAGTTAATACAAGAATAGTAGATCGAAATGTCAGTACGCAAACTAATTTACTATTCACACAGTTCGTGAAGGTGAAATTTCACCGGAGTTTCCTTTAGAAACTGAAATTGCTTAAATCAAAGTATGTAATCTGGCTGTTACCATAAATGGCAATCAAGAGAGCAAGTATACATGCGTGAAACTATATACCAGTGATCGGTTGAGACAAACAGTTGTATACTACTCAAATCAACCAGTAGTACTTGCTTGCCAGCCAGATCGAAGTGATCTACACACCAGATGGCCATTTCACTCGTTTTAGGCTGAGCTCATCTAAAGTATACTCGGTTTGTCTCAGCTGAGGGAGTTGAATCACTAGAAACACTTTTTCTGAAGACAACCAGTCACATACATGTAGAGTCCCCGATTGTAATTACTCAATTGGGTTCCGAGTGACATATAGGGCCTCAACAATACATCGGCGTTTGGTTCAATTCGGTGCTGTCCTCTTCAACTGGATCCACGACTGTCCATAATTTCTCATCTCTTCATTCTTCTCACACGATATCCTCCATGTCACTCTCGGACAATTCATTGACCGTTTCCCATTGAGATTCTAATTGAGGGCCTGTGTCGCGAGGTCATTCGACAGCCTCTTTAACGTATGCCCAATCCATCTCCACTTTCTCCTACATAATTGTTGAGCAATAGGCTCTTGGTTGGTTTATCGCCAGCCAGAGTTTCTTGTTGTTAATTCTTTCTGGTCAGCTGGCTGGCCATTTGTTCTCCAGTACCGGTAGAAAGCAGATGTTGATGAAATTCTGTAGTAGCCTGCTGGAAATCCTTTTTGTGACACGAAGTGGAAGTTTCTGACCCGTAGAGAAGAACTGACTGACTAACTTAACGTTGGTGTTTAAAATACGAATCTTGTTCTTTATGCCAGCTGAGTGCAGTGCAGAAGATTTCCAAACTGGTTTCAGGTTGATGAAAGCGTATCTGGCCTTTCCGATTCTGGTTAGCTCCGAAATCTCTATCCATTCCGACTGCCTGCCAAATCGCTCCAGTTGATGGTAACTAGTGTTGGTTGGTTGCTGGCTTGATTATCTTCATCACCTTCGTCTTCTCTATGGTCACCTGGAGTCCTGTCTTCAGTGGCTGTTTCTTCAGTCAGCTTATTGATTTTCGCCTACAGGTCTTCGAGTTTGTGTGAAACTAAACAATAATTGTCTGCGAAATCGGGATCTTCTAGAGTCCCTTTTAGTTTAAGTGTATTCCTGTCTTCTCACTGCCAACGCACAGTCCGATGCATTATCCGGTCCACCACAATTAAGAATATCATCGGTGATAATAGGCAGACCTGTCTTACTCCTGTATTCACTTCGAAATCCTCGCTGAGTTTCTGGTTGTGGATCACCTTATATGTGGCATTGTCATATAACTTTTGAATGAAGTTAATAGATAATTTAGCACTGCACGCCGTAGTGTTGAAGTGGTTTCCATATTACTTCTTGGTCAACTTGTAATGAGAGCTGTCTGCAAGACAGCAGTTTACGTCAATCTCACGTCCTGAATCGGGGTCATGAGAAAAAACAAAGAGACAAAGCTTAACCTTGAGGAACTCAACAGCCAATCACAGCAGACTTAGAGTGGGCAAATACGATTCGCTGATATATGGCCTAACTTTCTGAGAAACGGTCACACGTAGTAGAGAATAACCTTCAGCAGGGAAAGAACCAATCAGAAGGCGTTGATTCTCTGCTAATAATAACGCATAATAATGGACATAAAAATTTATAAATATCTGTTGAAGTTTCTCAATAAACGATCTGTTGCCTGGCCCTTGTCTTCTGTCGTTATAAACTCTGTCTGTTGAAGGCCGTTTCGAAGTCGATAAAGTTGAGGTAGAGAGATAGAGAGTAGTTTGACTGTCATTCTCTGCTTTGTTCGATGACAAGAGTCCACAATAGAGACTATACTATTTTATTCATTCTTCTTGGACTGTATTCAATAAATAAACTTCATTACAGGCGTTAAACCAATCACTCAATTAATAAGTTTCAATCACAAATAGTTAATCTAAATATTTTACTATTCCACATTTAAAGTCACTACAAAGGAGTTCATCTACCAAGTCGAAGTATCGAATTCCAGTCAGACGACGTTCAGAGATTTTTCAGTCAATGCCAGTTAGCATTCAAAAACAATTCAGCAAGGTAAACAGAACTACGCTAAAACAGCAAGCAGCAAATCAAAATTTCAAAAAAACACAACGAAAATTTGCCCCTTAGACTTACCCATCAACACAGAGTGTATTTTATTGCATGGCTTTCTTGTTTGTATCTAATATGCTTTGTGTTTTCTGATTAAAAAAACTGTGAATAACTCTAACCTTGAATGTGAGCTTTTGTTGATGTGGCATTTTTAAACATTTATCTATCTTGTTAACGACAAGACGACCTTTCACTGTGTCATCAGGGCGTGTGTGTGGCAATTCGGTTACCGGTTATAAGACTTCTTGACCGACCTATATCTCACTTTAGATTCCCCAGCTGACATCAGTTGAAGAACCACTAAAAACCAAGAGAGTACTGGACAGCTGTGTCGTCCTAAGTTGAGACTCTTCAACAGCACGCAACAATGAGGATCGAAGCCAGGTGTTTCAGAATACAAAACGAAACTGCCGACTATTTAGGTAATGGGTTGGATGGAATCCAATAGGCATAACTATTCTAGCTTGTACCAGTTTGCACTATATTACAATTGGTTGGAAGATTTCATAATGAGCTGACATCGGTAAGAGAACGATTGGAAAGCCACCTGGAAATACTTCCAGACAGATGTTTCGTCCTAGTTCTGTGGACTCCTTGTAAGTACACATCTACCTTCAGGGATCGAACCGAGGATCTTCTGGTTATAAGGCTAGCGAGCTCGTAGACAATTAAGCCACTGGGTGCTGACCAACCAACCAAACAAAATCCCTGCAAAACCAACACCTGAAAATTGACCTGATGCTCACTAGCAACTGGCGCAATTCAAATAGTTACCTAAGTTTCTGGTGAAAAAACTGTGACGCGTAGAGTACAGTACGTCGAAGGTGGAGATAGTTGTCCATCGAATACATTGCAAAGTGGTCGCTCTGTGCCGTGAATTGGCAGAAGTTTGAATTCAAGTAATGGTTTGTAGGGATTCAGTTGATTGGTTACAGGATTTCATCATGAGCTGACATTGGTTAGAGAACCAGTGGAAAACCGGCTGGGAGTACTGGACAGCTGTTTCGTCCTAGTTTGGGGATGGCTCTTCATCATTACGCACCCACCTTCAGGGTTCGAACCCAGGATCTTCTGGTTACGAGGCGAGCTCGTAGACCACTAGGCCACTGGGACGCGATCCAATGGCCCATGAATTCTAACTTCTGCCAATTCACGATATAGCGCAACCGCTATCCAAGAAGTTAGAATTCATGCACTGGCCATTGGATTGGGTCACAGTGGCCTAATGGTCTATGAGCTCTCTAACCTTGTAACCAGAAGGTCCTCGGTTCGTACCCTGGTGGTAGGTGCTTACTGATGAGGAGTCCCAGGCGTTAGGACGAAACAATTGTTTGGAAGTTCTTCCCTGTGGTTTTCCAATGGTTCTCTAACCAATGTCAGCTCATGATGAAATCTTTTAACCAGTAAAACAAAGTCCTTGCAAACCAACACAATTACCAGTTGTCATCAATTACAAAAGGTTCAGACAACATTCTAGCCACTGAGCTTTATTTGAGCTGCCTACTTTTATAATGCTTCGAATTTCAAGCTTGTCATAAACACAAATTAAAGGTCTTTTTAGAAGAGAATTACATTAATTGTCTTGAAATGCTATTCTGCTACCACTGTGTACAAAGAGGTCATGCATGAATTCAACTGCATTTAATCCTGACGTGTTTTTTTAAAATTTATATACATTATCTTCTTTTTCGTCGTCTTCTTTTTCTCCTACATGTAGACATCCAAAGTGAAACCTCTCGGTGTAAACAATAAAACGTTGTCAAGGTATTTCGATAAAGTACTAGATACGTTAATCAATAAAAGTAAGTTTAAATGATTATAATGCCTTATAGAGTGTACATGAGGTAGGCGTCTATGCATTTGTGTATGTGTGTGTGTGTTTGTCTGAGCACACGCCTTCATTGCTACTGTCCAGAATATCCATCCTTATCTAGAGATTTTATAACTGTCATTATTTTTCCCATTGGGTTCCGAGTGGAACAAGGTGCTTCAACAGCAAATCTCTGTTTTGTTCTAATTAGTATTGCCCTCTTCATCTGGGTCCACGATTGAATATAATCTCTCATCTCCTCCTCGCTCAGCATCCTCCGTCTCTTCCTCAGACACATGCCCAACTACGCGTTTTCAATTCAGATTCCACTGCAGTGATGGCCTGGAATCCGAATGCATTCAACAGGCTCTTCAGCGAATGTCCCATCCATCTCCATTTTCTCAGGAATGTTAGTTTGATGCAAGATTCTTGTTGGGTTAAAGTCTAGAGTTCCGTGTCGATTATCCTTTCTGGACGGTTGTCTGGTCTTCAGTATTGAGCGAAGATAGCTGATGGTCAAAGTTTACAGCATGTTAGAAATGCTTTTTGTGACATCGCTGCCAAGTCTCTAAAAAACATAGAAGAACTGACGTGACATTATTTATTATTCATGGGACACTAGTAACTAGTGTGATGTGTCTAATCTTTTCTTTGGAGCAGACTGAACTCTATCGTTAGTCAGGTTTGCAATATGGCCACCATTCTAAGTAGCTCCTACAGGAGGTCAATCGCGAGCCCGAAGAGCTAGCTCGGTGGTAACGTCTCTGGCTGAAGCACTCACTGGGTGACGCGGGTTGGAATCTCAGAAGGAACATGAGTTGCTCCTTCAAGGTTGCAGATACACACCTTGCTGACTGACTGTTGAGTGCCAACTAGCACGAAACCTAGGGCAAGGAAGGCTTTCTGTGGCCGATTGCCTCCAACCACCTAATATCAACAATTCAAAGTGCACCGTGTTGCCGAGCAACCTACATTGATGGTGTTCACATTGCAAACTTGACTGACGATACAATCCAGTCTGCACCAAACAAAGGACTAGACACATTACACTAGTTACTAACTGGTGTCTAGTGAAAAATAATAAATATGGAATATGAAATTATATTCTACCGCAGTCTGTAAAATTCTACATATACATTTGTAAGGCTTCCTAAAGAGATCAAAGTAATCCAGACAATGAGTGACCGTTTCATTCGTTTGCAGCCTAACTCATTATCGCCGTGTTCGGTCGGAGTCAGCTGAGAAAGCTTTAACAGTTCCGTGACCACTAGGGCACAGCAGGCTGAAGATGAGGCATTAACTCATCGAAGAAGACATTGCGAATTAGTCGCGCTATGTCGTGAATTGGCAGAAGTTAGAATTCCACCTGACTATCACGTAGCATTTTGTTTGATATAAATAGTTCAGATGGTATTTTCAGGGATATTAGAAGCAAACTGATTTCAGCCAATAACATTTTGTGATTAAATTCCGAAGAGAATTCCAAGGGAAAATATACAAACAAACTGATGGAGTTGCCATGGGATCACCAATATCCCCGGTTGTAGCAGATATATTCATGGATAGGTGGAAAAGTATAGCGATTGGAACGTTCAATCGCAGCCCAAAAGTATGGTGGAGGTATGTAGATGACACATTCACTGTAATTAGAAGACAGGAAATAGATAGATTTTTCGAACACATTAACTCAAAGGTGCAGGCAATTCAATTCACTTCTGAATTGGAAAGTCAGGAAGCAGGGGTGCTTCCAATGTTAGATTGTAGAAACAAAGATGGGAAGTTAAACACTAGTTTTTACAGGAAACCCACACATTCAAACGGATATTTGAACTTCCGATCATCTCACCCTATGTCAGTGAAAATAGGATTGGTGAAATGTTTAAATGACAGAGAAAAAAATAAGTAGTATCAAGGAAATTCTAAGACAGGAAGTAAGGCATATAAGAGAAGCTTTGAAACTTAATAATTATCCTGATGAATTAGTCAGAAAGTATGTAGGGAAATGTAAAAATAAAAATATAATAAATAATAATAGTAGCGATAGTGATAATAATAATAGTAATGCTAATGACGACATGCATGTCAAACATGCGCAGGATAATGACAACACTAACAATAGGGAATTCAAATCATCATTAGTAATCCCATACAAAGAAGGAACCTAGGAAACTTTACGCAAAACTCTTGACAAGGCAGGAAGAAAAGTGGCATTCAAACCAACCACAAAATAAATTAGAAACAAGCTTTGTCGGTTAAAATACCGATCCTGTGGAGACAAATGAACAAAACAATTTGGTTTATCTAATACCCTGCCTACAATGATGGTCAGGGCGAATACATAGGTCAGACTAGTAGAACAGATGCAATCAAACTAGCCAAACATAAAAGCCTAACAGCAAAATCTAGATAAGTTGACCCGAATAAGATAAGAAATGTAGAGAATAGCTCAGCTATAGCACTCAATACATGCAGTTACACACACACAACCATACAATAGGATGGATGGGATTAGATGACAGTTTAAAAATCTGTGTAACAGGGTGGAAGGAAAGTTTGATTTTTCGAATCAACTGAAGAGAGTACGTGTAATAGGAATGATGATTTAACATCTGTCCCCTTAGATATCTGGAAAGTTCTACTACCTCAACGACGACAAATAGGAGAGAACAAAGAGAACTGTAAAACTCAAGTTTTGAAGCTGTGTGATTATAACTGATATGATTATGAACCACAACATATTCTGTTCGAAACCTTGTCATTCAGTTAATAATAATAATGATATACCTAATAAAGAAATTGATTTGGAATTACTTACTACTACAGTGCCCAAGTTTTACACATATATTAAATCCCCACTTTTGAAAACTTTTTTTTCCTATCACAGGTGAAAATAAAAAGATGCTTGAGGAAACCATTTCAATTCAGAATGAAAATGGAAGCGAAAGCCAATCACTCAAAGAACAAGGACATGAAGAACCTGGAGAAGAAAATGGCGGTGGCGGAGGCAGCGGTGCTGGTGGTACTACCAACGGCGATGGCAAACAAATCACAATTAATCCTATAAGTAATATACTAATTACCAGTAATGATCACGAAGTGACTACTCACCAAACCAATTCCCCGAATTACGACAATGGAGGTGAGAATCAAGTCAGTCAAAGGAATCGAAGCTACACCGTGAATATACCCAATGAGAGACTAGTCAATATGCATGAAAATCTTTCCAGTAGCTGTTCTCAGTTGACGATATCTCCACCATTATCACTGGGTGATGATGTGCATTCACCAGCATTGGCTGCATCGACAGATGATCTTCTTAGCTTAGATCAATATGATCCATATGGTGAACAGAGAACAAAAGATTTATCAGTTAACGAATCGCTTGCATCATCTTGTTTAAATATCATCGCACAGAATCAAGATGCCAGTGAACGAACAAACGATTCTACCCTGGAAAGATGGTTATCCCAATCAGAGTTATTGAAACCGGTTACAAAATTAAAAGTGAGTTTGTGAAATATTTGTCATAAATCTATGTATGGTTCATACATTTATTCCCCTTGATAAATTTGAATAAAGCAAGAACAACAGTGGTGGTTTGTGCAGAATAATATGGTACCATCGTTGCTTATGTCGTTGGCTTCTCATCACAGCTCAGCTGCTTACAGCCTAAATAAATTATGAGGTTTACGTACAGAAAAGTTTTAACATACTTGCAAATTCAACATGTTGTCAGTTGACAGAAAGTTCCACAATTAGTTTCAAATCATTGTACGTATTGTTCTCAATCAATTTCTTCTTTAGAAGATCTCTCAGTGCGTTTGTGATACGTTTTTCGACTTCATTTGTCTTATCTTCCTGGAAATTGTCAACTTTGAACATCAACGGGTCATTTAACACAGCTTTCATCTTTGCGATTTAGTCCTCTTTATCCATCAGCACCACTGCTGAACCTTTGTCAGGTCGCAATATAACAATTTTTTCCTTATTCTTGAGAGCTTTCAATGCTCTTAGATGCTCTTCAGAAAGGACTTTGTAATATGACATTGGAGAAATGAGTTATTGATTTGCAGCGTCAACCAGCTTAGATTTGAACCAGCTCTTCTTGTCCTCATCAACTGGGGTGAGGTCATTCAGCTGATAGAAAAGGTTTTCGAATTGAGCTGCGACATCGGTTCTTTTGACAAAGTTATTCGGGATATGGATGTTAAATCCGAAGGAAAGCGCTTCCATTTCAATGCTGCTTAAATTCAAACTCGACAGATTATACACAAACTCCTCAGGACTTTCTGGAAAGACGTCATATTTTCTCTCCTTCGTCAGGGATTTCTCCAGAGTTTTATAAAAAAGCAATAATGAAAGTCATGCTTCACACTTACTCAGATTATTCAATGATGCACACACCAATATTGAGTTTACTATGGAACATGAAAGTGACGGAAAGTTTCACTTCCTCGACATCGCCATGGAACGCCTAGAAGACGGTAGTCTTCAAAAGTCAATTTATCGAAAGTCTACATGGTAGGGACAATACTTACATTTCAATAGCTTTTGTCCAAATAGATTTAAACGTGGTCTAGTCAAGACTCTGTACTATAGAGTGAGGAGAATATGCTCTATAGAAAAATTAGAGGAAGAATTTGAGTTTCTTGAAAAGACATTGAAGAGCAAGGGGTACCCTCAAAGGTTCATCAACAAGTATGGAAGATCTGAAGTCACAAATGTAAAACAAATCACAGTGAGAAAAAAGCCAATCTACTTTAAGCTTGATTATAAAGATGAAAACATTGCAGCGATGAATAACAGAAGGCTGAGTACATCACTAGCCAGAGCCTGCAGCTAAGCTCGTTCCCGTCTATCGAACAACTTGCTCTTTGATGCAAATTTACATGTATCTGCGGGAGCAGTTACATTGGAAGGACAGAAAGAAGGGCATATCTACGATTTTCTGAACATGTACCAAAACGCGTACGTCTAAAGGGAACAAATTCTTTAAACAGGCATCTCCTCGACACGAGTCATTAGGTGGAAATCGAGAAATCCTTCAAAATTATCAGTAGACAAAGGAGCTCCATTCTCCTAAAGTATGCCGTAGCAATTTCTATCAAACGCTTCAAACCAGATTTATGTGCTCAGAAAGAAACAGTTATTAGTCCTTCCTTGCCCTGGTAACTGCATGTCTTTATTCTCTACTCTGATTACGTAATCTTTGTCTTTAACCTCACCTTTCTCTTCTTTTTTATAATCTGTAATTTTGCTTGTCTCTTGTTTCTGTGATTTGCGTTGAACTCAGAACATTGTTACCTAATTTATAAGTCACTCTGCATCTTACGCATCTCTCGTCTTTATTACGTAACTCCTTTACCATTGTATGCATACATTTACTTTGTTTAAACTTGAACTGTCTGTGTAAAAACTATATAGGCACAAATTTCTGAACACTTTTCACTAATTACGGGACCTTCTGTCAACTAACAACATGTAAAATTTGCAAGTATGTTAAAACTTTTCTGTACGTAAACCTCATAATTTATTTAGGCTGTAAGCAGATGAGCTGTGATGAGAAGTCAACGAAATAAGCAATGATGCTACCATCTTATTCAGCACAAACCGCCAGTGTTGTTCTTGCTCTATGTTTGGCTAGTTGGCAATGATAGCTGGGTATATAACTCCCTAGTGGGTCGATGAGTGTATCGATTATAGTCATATAGGAAGTCAGTTGCATGGCAAACGAGTCTAACGATAAGAATCTCTGAGTGTAAATCACTTCCTTCGGGGATACAGACAGACATGAAAATGAGCGCGAAACGTAGGCTAACAGCCTCCTGTCAGTCACCTCCAAATGCTTAACACTTCACTCAGCTGGCTGTGAGTCAACCAAAAGACTCAACAACGAAAGAAGATAGAAACCAACATCATGTATAAAATAAATTATAACAACTGAGAAAAACACTACATTGGCCAAAGTGGATGTCCCATTCGTCTTTGTATCCTAGAACATAAGCTAGCCGTCAAAAGACATGGCATCCACTCTCTCGCTCTTATCGCTGCATAAAGACAACCATGGACATCAGTTCGACTGGGACAACCAAGGTTGAAATATTAGATAGAGGATGCAACAAGAATGCTAGAGAATTTTTAGAAGATCGCCTGGTATTTCAGTGAATCGTTAGTCAATAGACACACTAACCTAGACAAAATTTACCAATCGATACGAACGAAACCTCACACATAAAAAGTCAAACTTCAGGTCAAGGAAACAATCAATGCCGGATACAAGTAGCCTATAGTGTGTGAAAACACACAAAAACAACCAATCAAAACGTTCAGGGTCACCCACCAGAGGAAATGACTAATAAACTCGTGGGGAAATTTAAAAGGTCATTTCAATTCAATAAGTTGAAGTATGCGCTCTGAAGATGTTGCCTAGTAGGGCGATGAAAGCTTCGCAAATAAACCATACAGCCAGCTAAGGGAACACAACTAAATCAAAATGCCTTACAAGTTTGTATGGTAGACTACATTGGTTTGAAAATTGGAATTGTTGATGAAAAGACACTTCTTTGTACTTATTCGGTTAAGCTATGCGTGTCTGTCTGCTGTGCTTCCATCTCTGATAATACGTTATTAGGGTATCTGGAAATAAGCTGGAACCTGAACTTTTTATGAACAAGTGGACAGAGAACAATTATGCCCCTCATTATTAAAAGCAATTTTTTGCATTCTTTTGAATTCTGAGTGGAACGTAAGGCTTCAAGGTTGAGCTTTGAAATTTTCGTTGCGGTGGCGTTATTTTTATGGGATAAAATGGCAAAATTCATGCCTAAAACTACCACTTTTTCGGGCTTATCACTGGGTGGGAAAGGGTTAAGCATACTCAAGCCAAGAATCAAGCCTGGACCACTTGTTTAGTTGATGGACATTCTACTGTTGAACGACCGAAATTTTATCATTATTAGGCCATTTATATTTAGATTGTGTACAAACCCCAATTCTTAAAGCAGAGTTGTATAGTTCCCCTCTTCTGGTAATCATGGAACTCTTCAACTTTGTCCAATATGACGTTTTTAAAACCTATCAAAAATTGAGAGCCTATGTTTCTCTTCATGTATGCGTAAGACTTCGGCACTGTGGTAGTAAGTAATTCCATATTGGTTTGTTTATTAGATATATTAATTTATTAATTAAGGGATGACAGTTTAGAACACAAACCATTGTGGTTCATAATCATATCAACTGTAATCACACGACTTCGAAAGTTGAGTTTTATAGTTCTCTTTGTTCTGTCCTATTTGTCGTCGTTGGGGTAGTAGAATCTTTCAGATATCCAACTGGACAGGTGTTGAATCATTCCTATTACACGTGTTTGCAGTTGATTCGATCAACAAAGCTTCCGTTATCAATCTCTCCCCCCACCCTACTGTTACATTAGATTTTGAAACTGTCTGTCATCTTATCCCATCCATTCTATTGTATAGTTGTGTGTAATATCATGTAGTGCTATAGCCAGCCTAACTATTCTCTAGATTTCTTATCTTATTCGGGTCAATCATCAGTAGTAATTCTATACAAAGAAGGAACCTCCGAAACCTTGCGGAGAATTCTTAACAACGCAGGAATAAAAATGGCTGAATTTAACCCCCCCTCCACAAACTCGCTTAGAAACAAGCTTTGTCGGTTAAAATACCGATCCTGTGGAGACAATTAAACAAAACAATTTAGTTTATCTAATACCCTGCTCGCAACGATTGTCAGGTCAAATTAGTAGAACAGAGTCAGTCAGTCAGACTGGCGGAGCATAAGAACCTAGCAAAATCTCTATTAGTTGTCCCGAATAAGATTAGAAATCTGGAGAAAAGTTCAGCTATACCACTCACTACATGCAATTACACACACACAACCATACAATCGGATGGATGGAATCAGATGGCAGTTTTAAAACCTAATATTACAGGGCGGGTGTGGGTGGGAGAGATTGATAATAGAAGCTTTGTTTATCGAATCAACTGCAAACACGTGTAATAGGAGTGATTCAACACCTGTCCAGTTGGATATCTTGAAAATTCTACTACTACTCCTACAACGACAAATAGGAGAGAACAAAGAGAACTATAAAACTCAAGTTTCGAAGTCGTGTGATTATAATTGTTAGGATTATTAACAATAAATAAATTGTGTTTGAAACGTCATTCAGTAAATAATACTGTTTCACTCACTGTGTGATATATCTAATAAACAAATCATTGTGGAACTATGTTTCTTTTGTTTAGATTTTTCAGCCCAGGAAAAGAAACAGAGTCTTTATTGTAAGATACCAGAAACGTGATGTACTCAAACCTATCCATTCACCTGTTTTTTTCTATTGATGGCAAGATAAAAAAACCCTCAATAGGATTATAGATCTAATCACACTTCTTATCACACAAATGTTCCGTAGATCTTTGTTCATATTAAACTAAGGCAAGGTACCTCATCTGATCCTATTTCACCTTATTTCATTTGTCTATGCGCCCAATCGTACAACTTAGACTAAAAACTTACGTACCGCAAAGATCCAGATGTAAGTTATAGAAGTACATACATTACCTCCCGGTCGACGCACTTCTAAAATTCGCCTGGTTCACCAACGGGTTCTAACCACAAGAGATAATGAAGTTTGGCCATCAAGCTAACAACCCTGCCCTGTAAAAATAATAATAACAGTGCCACTGAAACGTCAAAGTTTGAAGACCTACGTTCCTTGTCAGAACTCTACGCAGCGCACTAAGTAACTTACGATGACCAATAAAGACCCCTCTACATCACTGTCATCACGAAGAGAATCCTGTTTTCTTTCCTACACTTTGAATTTAATCAACTATTCTTATCCAATGGAACTTTACTTTCCCCTTATTTCTGTAAATTTTCTTTTTCCCATTTTAGAATCCTTTTCCACGTGATGGTTATTTTTGGTCAGTTGCACTGTTTATTAAACTTGGTCGTAGAATAATACCACTGAATTCTAAAGGTGAGGCAATGATTGATTTTTAAAACTCCTGTTGATATATTAATGTACTTGTGAGTTGAGCACAGAGCCTCAGCTGGCTTCACAGCTGTTTACAAGCTTTCTTCTCACATGCTCCTCTGCTTGTCAACATTGGACTGATGCGCAGCTCGCCCATCGTCATTCGGGTTGTACTGGAGGTGTTGCCTGGCACTGGATGTCTCCTCAGCGCATATTTCTAACTTATCTCCATTTTCCCCTACATACCTGTTAGGTAATAAGTTTATGACTGGTCCACTGCTGCTGCTTATCCTCCCCTTCTGGCCGTCAGATCTACAGTGGTGAGACAGACGCCTGTTTGGAGTACACATTTAGTGACATTTCACTGAACCATTTAGTTGGATTTTTAGATTTTCCCGTCGACTGACTGGACCGAAGTGGCTCTTGTGTCCCAAGTGGTCTAGTGGATAACGCTTTGGCATTTGAAACTATGGGCACTGGGTTCGAGTCTCCGTGGTGGGAACATCATCACTCACTGGGGAATGTAGATACATCCGCTGGTTGACGAGTCCCAAATAGAACGAAATGCACGTCGTCTTGGATTCCACTGCTAGTCACCATCCACTAATTGAATTCTCTGAACCATTCAAAGCCACTGACTTGAAAGTTAGTCGAACTAAAAGTAGCTGCATGAATGCATGTGTATTATTATTATTGTTCCCTTGGGTTCCTAGTGGAACATAGGGCTTCAACTACACGTCTCCACTTGCTTCTATCTTCTGCTGTACTTTTCACCTGCATCCATGTTAATCCATACTGTTTCAACTCCTCTTCACACGATCTCCTCCATGTCACCCTTGGACGTCCCACTCGCCACTTCCCTTTAACCTTACACTCGAGCACTGGCCTGACGCGCGATGTCACCCAGCGTGTGGCCTCCTCAGCGAGTGTCCAGTCCATCTCCACTTTCCCCTGCATATTTGTTGAGCGATTGGTTCTTGTTTAGTTGGTTCCCATTGTTTCTTGTTTGTGATTCTTTCCGGTCATCTGATCTTCAGTATAGAGCCAGCGAAGACAGTTGATGATTGATAAAGGTCTGCAACAGGCTGTTGGAAATATTCTTTGTGACACACTGGCCAAGTTTCTGATCCATCCGTATAGAAGAAGTGACTGACTTCACGTCGTTTGTATTGAAAATCCGAATCACTTTGTTGTTGATGCTGAGTTGAGTGACGAAGATTTCCAGATTGGTTGGTATCAGGTTGATGAATGTGTTTCTCGCCTTCCCGATTCTCGCTCGATTTGACATCGTCGTCCGTCCATTTCTCCTGTAGTTGAGACAATGCTCCCTAGATAAGTAAGTGAATGAAGTAACCTCTTTCAAATCCCTCCCGTTGATGGTGATTGGGGCTGGATGTTGCTGCTGTTGTTGTTGTTGGTGGTGGTGGTTGGTTATTTTCATGACCTCCGTCTTGTCTATGTTCACCTGGAGTCCTGTCTTCACTGCCTGCTTCTTCAACCGGTTTGTCGGTTTTCGCTTGTTAGTCTTCGATTTTGTGTGACATCAAACATAAATCATCCACGCGCGAAATCCAGATCTTCTAGGTTCTTCACGTCGGTCCAGGATATCCCTGTCTTCTCGTTTCCCACTGTCTGACGCATAATCCAGTCCACCACAATTAGGAATATCATTGGTGATAATAAGCACCCTTGTCTGACTCCTGTGTTTACTTTGAACTCCATGCTGAGTTTTCCGTTGTGGATCACTTGACATGTGCCATTGTCGTACAGCTGTTGAATAAGGTTGATGAATATTTCGGGTACGCCGTAGTACTTGAGTAGTTTCCAAATTACTTCGCGGTGAACGCTGTCGAAGGCCTTCTCAAAGTCTATGAAGGAAGTTGAGGTGGAGGTTTGATTGCTTTTCCATGTTTTGTTCGATGATGATGCGTATAGTTGCAATTTGGTCAGAACATGATTTGCCTTTCCTGAATCCAGCTTGTTCTGGTCGGAATTCTGTATCCAGTGCGTCCTTTATTCTCTCCAGGATGATGCCACTCGGGATTTTACTTGGCGTCGACAGGAGCATGATTCCTCGCTAGTTCTTGCAGAGTCCCAGGTCGCCCTTCTTTGATAGTTTCACCAGGTAACCTTTCCTCCAGTCAGTAGACACCTTTCCCTCCTTTCAGACCTTTTGCAATAATGGAGTCAGCATATCTGCTGTCATCTCTGGGTCCGCTTTCAGTGCTTCCGGGGGTATTCCATCTGGTCCAGCTGCTTTTCCAGCTTTCAGAAGCTTGATTGCATTCATGACTTCAGTTTTCGTTGGAGGATTGGTGTCAACTTGCAGTTGTGTACGCACTGTTGTTGGTATTTTTGGACGGATTGCAGGTGGCGGTCGGTTAAAGAGTCCTTTGAAGTGGTCCGCCCATTATTTAATCTGTCTTTCTTCCCTGGTAATATCCCACTTATAGGCAACACCAACCACATAGTCTTCTCATCTTACACACTTGTTATTTAGAGAATTTAGACTTTGGTGGATGGTGGCTAGCAGTGGAATCCAGCCAGGATACGCATTTCGCCCTATTTGGACCTCGTCAGCCAGCGGAAGTGCCTGTGAGTGTTCCCATTGAGGCTCAAGCTCAGTACCCATCGTTTTAAGCGTCAGAGTGTTGTCCATTGAACCACTTGGGTCACGAAAGCCACCGCTTGTACGACGGGTACTAATTCAATTTGCACTTTCGTGGCGATTGATTGAACCGAGAGGTGTTCAACCGCTGTTGACTTCAAGTTAAATCCTCAAACATCGTTGAAGCATCCATACATACAAGAAGCCAATATGTCAACAGAGACCGAACACTTCAGTTCTAAGTGAATAAAATAATTCAGACTTTACGCATAATCTGATTTTCATCTTATGAGTGAACTTTACTGTAGTGATAAACAGAATTATAACTGACGTGTAGTAATTTGCATATGAGAAAATAGCAAAAAGAAAATAGGCACTATCGGGTCAAATCAAATAAAAGATTGATTGAATATTTGAGTGATTTATGCAAAATGGTGAACGTTATAAAGTGTATAAGTTGTGGCTACAATGAATAAATTATTTTGGGTTATTGGTAGAATAGTAGAGAAGGTGGTGTGTAGCTCAAAGTGAATGTTTTTCGTTTGCTTTGTATCCTCTGGCTTAAACAGTTTTGTTGTAGAGCTTTTATTGTCCCTATTGAACAGTATTTCCGGATGTAACTTCAACCTGAAGTAAGATTTCACTATAAAATTGATATTGGCTAGATAACTAGTTAAAAATCAAGGTGAAATGGACAGTAATTTCGTCCTAGTTGGAGACTCTTCAATGCTAACTAGGCACCCAGTGACCTCTTCTCGCCTCCCCAATGAACAGAATCCAAGACTTTCGGAGTATAAGACAAGGATGCTTCACTATCTTTGGATGATTGTGGACAAACGCTGTATTGTTCCAAAGACTTTGTTGGTTAAAATGTCACTCAAGATATTCTGGAGACATTATTTCTCACAGACTTATTTTCCTCGATGTTATGTCTTCAGTAGACTTCCGGTAACATGTGTGATTTGTCACCTGATATAATGAGATTAAAAATTCAATGGAAATTCTGTCATTGACAGCTGTTTGTGCCAGACTTGGAGTTCTTCGGCATGCATAACCCCTGGTGAGGATCGATCCTACGACTTTTGCGCTACAAGGCAAGAAAAGCCATCGTGTTGGAATCTGTTGGACCATCCGTTGTCATTTCTGTCAGTTTGTGATATTGTCCTATAGTCACCGAGAGGTTCTCTGGCGATGCTTGGCTGTAAAGGGAATTCCGAGAAAATACATTGCAGTGATTAAGGCACCCTACTCGTACTCATGCAGCCAGGTGAGGGCTTACGGCGAGTTGTCATCTGAAGTGGTGACGACTAGTGGTGTCCGTCAAGAATGCCCATTATCCCCATTTCTATTCAACTTCATCATAGACGTACTAATGGACTTAACCCTAACTCACTTCAGAGACTCAGGGATTGACTTGCTACCAGGGAATAATCTCGTTGACTTAGAATATGCAGACGATATAGTCCTTCTAGGCGAGGACGCTGACGAAATGCAGTCTTCTGAACATCTTGAGCAACAATCTTTGTATGTTTGGCATGCGATTCGCCCCTGTAAAATGTATGATGCTGCAGGATTGGACTACACCGACTCCTAGATTAGAAATAGGAAGTGAAGTGGTAGAGCACGTTGACTACTTCGCTTACTTGGGAAATACCATCAGCCAGTGCCAACGGGTTGATCTCCGACGAAATCTCAGCACGCATACACAGGGATAGGTTCGCATATGCCAGTCTACACCGTCTCTGGCGTAGACGTCATATCCAACTATCGACAAAAGGGCGTGTGTACTGCTCAACAGTCCGCTCCGTCCTCCTTTATGGCTGTGAGACCTGGCCATTGAGAGCAGAAGACATGAAAAGATTATCTTTGTTCGATCATAGGTGTCTGCGTGGTATAATAAGGTGAGCAATATTGAGGTTAGGCGTCGAGTGCTAGGTAAGGAGGGGAAATCAATCGACGAGACTGTGAAATTACATCGACTGAGATGGTTAGGACATGTGCTACGTATGCCTAGTCATCGCCTTCCTCGACTGACGGGAAATGTTAGCTGACATAGGATGGGTCAGGCTGGAAAAGAGCTAGTGGCGGTCAAACCAAAACATGGCACCAGTCAACGAAATCCACAACAGTTAGTCTAAGCCACGTAGGAAGGTGTAGACTGCCCGGTTGGGGTCCTCGGGACTGTAAAAACTAATGGTTGGAAACAATTGGTGACATGGCTCAAAATTGTTCTCACTGCCTGGCGCATATGCATCCGCTCCTTGTGACTTATGATTTCCAATGAAACTGTTTTATTCTTCGTGATTACTATTCCTTTGTCTCACACCTCTGTTTACCGTCTATATTGTGCATTTTTCCTACTTTCTTCTCTTGCTTTGTGTGCTACATGGAGTGTGGCGACTTGAACTGCTGCACATCGGTGCAAAGTTCTATGTCGAAAACAGACAGACAGACAATTACCAGTGAGTATTTATCCTCAAGTCAGTGGACCTCACCGAATCATTATTTCTCATTGTTCAGTGATTCATAATCTGTGGAGTAGCTGCATAGTTTGGTCGTGGAGAGATTCGGGTGGTTTCTAAAAAAAGGTGTTTCTCACTAGATGACGTCAGTTACACTTAAAAAATTAAAACAAGTGATGCAGAGAAGAGACACTTTTCAACGAATTTATTATCCAGTTATACATTGGTGTATATATGTGTGTTTTTTAAGAAATTGTATCCGCTAAGTGAATTGGATCAAAGGTGTGAACGCATGAAATAATAATAGTAGTAGTATGGAATGCAATTGAAATTAAAATGTTTGTGATTATTTTTTTTATTCCTTTTACGTTCCCAGTGGAACATAGGGCTTCAAGCCTCCAACTTGAAGTTTCCGCAGCAGTGTTCAATTTTTACAGGATGGGGTTGCTAGCCTCATGCCCAACCTTTCCTCTTTACCAGTCTTATTACTGGCTTAACGAGGTAAAGGATTGCGTCGTTGGCCGGGGATCGAACCCCGGACAAAATCCGTGGTTGGCGAGCACTCTACCGCTGCGCCACCGTCGCACATGGTCACTAAAATAACCTTTACCAACTAACAGACTTGACACATCTGGATTGTATGCATGACCATCTGGAGAGGAGGTCTCTTCATAAAAGCTCCTTTTAGATGACTCCGTAGACCCCAGAGGGGAATATCGTACAGGTGAATGGCAACCCTTTAACACAGGAGAGTCTAGTGATCCACAGTATTCTGTGGAGTTGTCTGTATCAGAATCCCTAAGGCAAGAAAAAGCCGGTGAAAGCTCCATGTCACGTCTTGATGTGGCCGGCGTTGAAGAAGACGGAGTCGGCAACATATCACGTTTACTACGCTTCATCCCCGGTCAGTCATGAAAACGCCCTGACGTCTTGAAATTAGCACCGCACCTTGTTTGGGGGAATAATCGTTTGTGATTATAATCATAGTTACTTGTAAATTGGCAAAACAATTAATGTCATATATAGAATAATTCATAGGATGGATAGAACTTGTGCGTCGGTGGCACAATGGTTAGGACTCTCGCCGACCATGCACATGGTCCGGAGTTCGATCCCCTGCCGGCGCACACCCGATATCTATGGTCGGCCTGAATTTGGGCTACCGATATCCATGCTGAAAATTCCATACCTGTACTGAAAATACGGTGTGGAATCAAGCTGTAAATCAAAAAAAAAAAAATGGTGTGCAATTACAAGATTAGTAGACAAATCGAATAAAATAAAAATGTTACCTAATATTGTGTGAAATCTGATCACACAGAATTTAACGTTGCAAAACAAAGTCGAATTAGAATGACAAGTGGAACGAGTGAAGTAATACCGGGGACAGTTCAAAGGGAGAATAGTAATAATAGTAACAACTGACGTAATAAAGGAAGAGTATACAAAGTGAATAAACAAAACGAAACGAAAATTAATTAAAGCCAAAATATGATTAGGGATTATCATACTTTAGCACAAAGGGATCATAACACCATGAAAGGTGGTGGGGTTGAACGAACCTTTTCTGTATACAGAGATCTGGCTTTTCTGTTTCGATGGCCAGAGCTGCTTCAGCAATACAGATGAGTCGGATACGTAGTGGTTTGAGTAAATTACTTTTCACCTTGTAGATGACTTTAAAGTCTGTGGCTGTAGAGATAGGGCATTATAATTTTCTAAGAACCACATATATATATACCATTGTACAGCTTGATAATGTATTCGTTGAGAAGAGTATCTTCGCTGAATCACTTCTTTTGATTTTCTATGTCCCCTTGAGAATTTTCCTTGAGTTACATTTCATAAATTCGCAGAAGTTTGAATTCATGAGCCATTGGATCAGGTCCCAGTGCCTAGATGGTCTACGAGCTCGCTAGCCTTGTAAGCAGAAGATCCTAGGTTCGAAAACCCCAGGGGGTGCGTACTGCTGAAAAGCCCCAAACTAGGGCGAAACAGCTGTCCAGTACTGCCAGGTTTTCCAATGGTTCTCTAACTGATATCAGCTCATGATGAAATCCTCCAACCAATCACTTACATTAAACATTGAAAACTATAATATGAGTAAATTTCACCATGGATAAAACTTTACCAAAACAAACGACTTAACGTGCTGCCGCCATCAGATTTCGTTATCTTATCCTTATTGACTAACTGAAGCCTATTGTTGACAGTGACAAGCTTCCAGCCATCGTGTCCTTCATTATTGAGAGAAAGAAGCACCTACTTGCGCAGAATAAGTTTTATTTCTTATATGCCCTGAAGTTTCTGTAGCAATAGGGATATTGAATTAGGATATATATGATGTCTACGCAGCGCTTTCCAGAACCATTTTGGATATTCATGATTGATAATACAGGTCTCAAAAAATTCCAATTTTGCATTTACTTCGGAAAGTTTGACAGAGTAACGAAGAAACCCACTGAGTTCCTTGACTATCGAAGAGTCGAAGAGATATTCTTTTACGACATGAATTCGCTAGCCCCATCTTTAACCCTTCGATCTTCCCTACTTTAAGATTGGCTAATGGGATAGGTGAATTTTTATCTACTAGGCAGTCGGACGAAAACCCAGTGAGTATAGTTCAGTTGGTATTAGTCTTTTCAGTAGTCAGAACTCAGGATCTTTGAGTTACACTGTGTTCCATTTGAGATCCAGAGACATAACTAACCTTTGTGTAAATAGTGTAAGTGGGTTAAACCGGACAGCAAATCATTTTCTCTTCACTTGTGGGACAAGATGCTCTTTGTTGCAATTAAAAGTCGACGGATACCCATCTGATGTTAACTCTAACTGTGTATACAAGTTTACATGTATATAAGGGAGCAGTTACATTGGTAGAATAGAATGAATGAACGTGTACCCAAAATCCCACATCTCAAGGGGACAAATGATTTCCATAGTGCCACTGCCAGGCATCTCCGTGATATAGGTCATGAGATGGACATCGCAAAATCCTTTAAAATTATCAACATCCAAAACAGCTCAATTCTCCTCAAGTGTACCAGCCGAAGCAACCTCTATCAAACGCCTGATAGCCAATGTGTTCAGCAGGTATCAGTAATCTGTCTTGTCTTACCTGCCAGCTGGTAACTGGATGTCTTTATTTCCTCTTTCATGTGAGCACGTATTCTCTGTGTTTAACGTCTTGTCTTTAGTACGTAGCTCCTTCGCCATTGTATCTTTGCTTTGTTTTGCTTTCTTTTATTTATTTAGGCAGAAGTGATCCTTATGTGAAAATTAAGCATACAGGAAATGTGTTAGCCAGAAGTCGTATGGTTCCTAATAATAGTAATCCTGTATGGGATGAAAAATTTTGGTTCCGTTTGTGCAGCATAGAAGTACCTATAGAGGTAAGTTATCTGGTTATTTCTTACAAACAGTAGCACACTATTCACTATATTGATTACTATTATTATTATTCCCTTCGGAGTTTTGAGTGGAGCATACGGCTTTAAGAGCACATCTCCGCTTCACTGTGTCCACGACAGTCTCTTTTAACTGGCTGCAAGATCGTTGTCAATCTTCTTTATCCAAATGACATGATCTCCTCAATGTTACTCTTCGATTTACGCCCGACTCATCGATTATCTCATTCGAGTCCCATTAAGCAGCCTACTTGGTATATGATGTCGCTGAATGGTGTATCTCTCCGCCTTCTTTACTTCCTTCTGCATTTCATCAAGTTATTCATCCAGAACAAAAATCAATATTTACTGGCACTTTCAAGGCATTATAGACTTCAGTTAGGTAGTTTGTTAAGAAACTAAGTGGTTCCAAAGTAGTTCACGTCATGAGGTAACATGTTCCAGGCGAGTATAAGGAAATCAGGAAAAAAAGAGAAAAAATATCCCTATTTAGACATTTAGAAAGCAAGCGGATTGAACGAAGAAATGTTTACTTTTCAATTAGATACTTATCTCTGACTCTGATCTAATATATGCGACAATTTTAACACAAAAGGTAACACCTTGGATTTGATGGAGAAGATTTGTAGCTCAGGTGGATGATTTTGATGTCGTTGTGTTCTCTGAGTTGGATAGTTAATTTGCGAAGCTTTTATCACCCTACTAGGTGACATTTTTAGAGCTCAGAGAACACAACTACGTCAAGGAAACACCTTGATTGGACACTAGTAACTAGTGTGATGTGTCTAGTCATTTCTTTGGTGACGACTGAATTCTATCGTTAGATGGGTCTGCATTGTGGCCACCACTCTAGGTAGCTCGCCATTACGGTGCACATTGATTTGATGATATTGGATAGTTGGAGGTCAATCGCGAGCCCGAATATCTAGCACAGGGGCAACGTCTCTGACTGCAGCACTCACCGGGTGATGCGGGTTTGAATCTCAGAAAGGATATGAGTTCATTCGAGGTTGCACACACGCCTTGCTGACTGGCGAGTGCCAACTATCACGAAACCTAGGTCAGTCAAGGCTTCCTGTAGCCGACTGCCCCCAACTAACAGATTTTAGCAATCAAGTGGTGATACGTTTGTTATTAGTCGGTATCAACATGTCAAGGGGGTTGATAATTAACGAAGAAGATTAATACAAAGAATTAAAGGGTAAAAATGGTTATTCTGGTATTATTCTATATAGGACATTAATTATTGTGCCACTTGACCTTAAACTATGATTATAAATCACAAATATTTTAATTGCATTTCATACTATTATTATTTCATGTATTCACACCTTTGACCTAATTCCCTCACCGGATAAAAATTTTTAATAAAAAAACCATATATACGATTGTACAGCTTGATAATAAATTCGTTGAAAAGAGTCTCTTCGCTGAATATTGTGTTCTTAATGCTACAATGAGAAATGGTTACAACAAGTGGATTGCATAATGCATAATTTTGGAAAAATGAAGAGTAATTAAGGAATAAGCGAGTGTTCAAGTCGATTGCGCAACAGATTATTAAAGAAAGTAAAACGATTTGGACTATGATAACTTGTAATTAAAGGTGGAATAGTCATAAGAATAAAATAATCTGGACAATGATTATGGTTAAAAGGCTAATGGGGGACGACAAAGTAGTCAGCTTTAAGCATTCAGGTAACGATGGTCAAGGTAAGGAAAGTGGCTGTACGAATTTCTTCTGAATACACAGGTTTGGCTTATTCGGGTGGTTTTCGATGGCTTCAGCTCTAGGTGTAGAAAACGAACCCGTAAAGCAAAATTAAGGTTAGTAGAAATGCGATGAATAAATTTAAATGCTATATTAATAACATCAACTTTATGCTCACTGTCTACAAGGTGTGATAAAACAGAGCTACGAATAGATCATGTTTGTCTCTTGCTTAGCCATGTTGGATGATGCTCGGAAATACGATGCCGAACCTGCCTAATTATACATCCAGTGCAACTGGCTCCTCATCTGCAGTTAAACTGGTGGATGAACGAATAAACATTTCTTCGTCCAATCCTTTTTCAGGTAACAATCGTCAGTTTTGAGATTTAGATGTAGAACTTATTCAAAAACTCAGTTGTAAGACACTCGTTGAGCATATTGAGAATTCATCCGCACCCAAGAAAATACTGTACATGAGCTTGGAATTCAAAGGTGACTTAGCTTCAGATATCATTAAAAGAAGGATACCACAGTCCCTGAAATGAATATTCCTTGCTGCATCACCAGTTGACCATTACTGTTCAATAACCTGAAGGATAAGATCTCGCTGTTGAGGAACTCTATGTGCGTTTATCAATTCACCTACTCGAGTTTTGTCCAAGAGGGTGCAAGAACACTATCCCGCATGGTTACGAAGAGGTGGAAGTGAAGCAATAAGAAGTGAGATCATTGAACATCTGGTCGATAATGATCAGCCTATCTCTATAGCCTCCGCTTTTAAAGTCATCTGCAATGCAAAAAGTTATTTACCGAAATCACTACGTATCTGACCAATCTGTTGTATTGCTGAAGCTTTGGTTATCGAAACAGAAAAGCCAGATCTCTATGTACAGAAAATGTTCGTTCTACCCCTCCAACCTTCATGGTCTTAATCCCCTATGCTAAAGTATGGTAATCTCTAATCATATTTTCGCTCTACCTATTTTTCATTTTTGTTTATTCAATTTGTATACTCTTCCTTTATTACGTCAGTTGTTACTATAACTATTCTCACTTTGAATTGTTCCCGGTATTATTCTACTTGTTCTACATGTCAAAGCTTTTGATCGTAAGAAAGAATTTCAGAAAACAATTTAATTTTTCAAGTATTGGTTTTTGTAGGGATTTAGTTTGATTGGTTGCAGGATTTCATCATGAGCTGACATCGGTTGGAGAACCATAGAAAAACCACCAGTAAGTACTCAACGCCTGCTTCGCCCTAGTTTGGGACTCTTCAAAGGTACGGATCTTCCGTGGTTAAAACCTGGGTTACCTAGTAGGTGACCTGGGTTATAGTGAGAGTTCATAACCAGCAGAGTATAGCAGGTCAGGTGTTAGGAGAAATACTCACCACAGATGATATTGTCTAGTGACAGTTGCGCTATTTGGTGAATTGCCGGAAGTTGGAATTCATCAGTTGGCCATTAGATCGGGTACCGGTGACTTAATTGTCTGTGAGATCACTGACCTGATAACCGGAAAGTCCTGGGTTCGAACCCTGGTTGGCGAGTGCCTACTGTTGAAGAGTCCAAAACTAGGCTGTCGAAACAGGCATCCAGTATTCCCAGGTGGTTTTCCAATGGTTCCGTAATCGATGTCGCTTCATGATAAAATCCTTTAACCAAGTACTTTATGTATTTTAATGAGTGACGGTTGATGGTGGAAAGGTGATGCTTATTTTTTTTTGATTATAGCTTGATTCCACACCCTATTTTCGGTACAAACTATTGGATTTTTAGCATGTGATATCGGTAGCCCAAATTTTGCAGGCCCACCATTGATATCAGGTGTGCGTCGGCAGGGGATCGAACCCCGAACTATGTGCATGGTTAGTGAGAGTCCTAACCGCTGTGCCACCTTGATGGCAGGATTCAAACCACCAGCTTTCCAGTCATAGACTCTGTGACTTATCAGCCAAATTGCCAGTCAGTGTGCCGTGTTGTTCATTTGATTACTTGAAGTAATTATCATTATTTCCTTTAATTCCTAGAGGAACATAGGGCTTCAGCCATGCGTCTCCATTGCGTTCGCTTCTCTGCTAGAGTCTTCACCTGGCTCCAAGTCTGCCCACACGCTTTCATCTCCTCTTCACATCACCTCCTCCAAGTCACCCTAAAGTCACACTGACGACCAACTCGCTGCTTCCATTTCGACCAGGTTCCACTCGAGCAATGGCTTGTCTAGTGATGTCACTTGACGGTTTGTTTCCTCATAGTATGGCCAGCCAATCCATCTCCATTTCTTGCTGCCTATTTGTTTCACAATCGGTTCCTGCTGAGTTGGTTCGCTCATTGCCAGAGATCTCTGTTGCTGATCCTTTCTGGCCGGCCACCTGATCATGAATGGTATTGAGCGAAGACAACTGTTAATGAAGGTGTGTAGTTTGTTTGAGATGCTCTTTATGACGCGCTGGCCAAGTCTCTGATCCGTATAGTGAGTAGCACTGACTTCACATTGGAGTTGAAATTCCGGATCTTATTCTGATTTTGATGCTGAGTGTTGTTGACCTCCACACAGACTTGAGAGTAGTGAAAGCTTGTCTTGCTTTTCCGATTCTTGCTTTGATATTCTCGTCAACTCCGTCCGCCTGTAGTTGAAACGATGCTTCCAAGGTAAGTAGGTAGGTAAAAGAGGTTGTTTCTTTCAGGTTCCTTCCATTTATGCTGATTGTTGTCTGTTGTTGTTTTTGTTGCTGTTGGTGGTGTTACCCAACAATAACTTGAACTAAAGGTCCATATACTTTAATTCTCATGTAAAAGAGAACAGAATGAACCTGACTACACCTTAAATTACAACCTGCCTAACTTTTTTCTCTTATTTTCTTTCTGTATTTTCTACTTTGTGCAGTTGAAAGTTTATCATCGTGATGCATTTAAAAAGGATTCCTACATTGGTCGAACATTAGTTAGTCTCTTGGATATTGAAATGGACAGGTGAGTCCGTCATTAATACTATTTAGTCATTGTTTATGTGTCAGTGGTTCTGTGATTGCATGCGTCAGTAGTCTACTACGCGTTTGACACGGGTTCGAGTCCATTGCTGGTGCACCCATTTTATCTTATCAGATTTATTAATCAGCGCTATTGCTGATCAGATTGCAATTCTACACATTAACATCAACCAAAAAAGGCATAGAATGAGACAGTCAAACCAATGCTTCAATTTCATCGACTTTGAAAAGGCCTTCGACAGCGCTGGAAATTACTTTGGCACCACGGCATAAATCTTTGCCAGCCTCAATCAACAGCTATATGACAATGGCTCGTGTCAGGTGATCCACAGTGGAAAACACAGAGAAGCCTTTGAAGTGAAGACGGGAATAAGACAAGGCGGCCTCCTAACCCCCCCCCGCGATATTCCTAATTTTGGTAAACTGGATTATGCGGTACACCGCACAAACGTGGCCACCGGGAAAACAGGAATACGTCGAACCGATAAGAAGACCATAGGAGATCTGGAATTCGTGAGTAATTTTTATCTAATGTCACACAAACTCGAAGGCATGCTGGCGAATACCAACAGGTTTTCAGAAGTACCAGCAAAGACAGGAGTTGGGGTGAACCAGCCAATAACCTATCGCTCAACACATTTGTCGAATTATAAGATTTAACAGTGTGAAATATTCCTATATCATGAATTAAAAGTCAATCTGAATGTGAAGAATATTCTTTTCAATAATTTCTCCTCTTCAGGTTCTTACAATTATAAAAAATAATATTTGTTGTCGTTGCAATAGTGGATAGTTATGCGGCGGATGCATATACGTCGAAGAAAATGGAGATGGATCGGACATACGCTGAAGAGACCGTTTAATGGATATCACACACCACACTGACTAGTGGAACCTAAATGGGAAACAACAAGTTGGGTGTGAGTCAGAGGATGACATGGAGGAGATCGCATGAGAAGGAGATGAGAGACCATGGGCAATCGTTGGATCAACTATAGAGGATCTCAGAGAGTAGAACAAAATGGTTAAGTGCTGTTAAAGCCCTATGTTCCAATCGAAACAAAAAGAAATATAAAAAAGTCGCTAATTACTAATTCATTAACCAAACTGTGAATGTTAAGACGTCACTTTGAATTATTTGCTAATTTTTTTTGATGTAGCTGTGTTCTCTGAGCTCGATAGTTTATTTGCGAAGTTTTCATTGCCAAATACTAGGCAACATCTTCACAGCATACCTCAGTTCATTGAAGTAAGCCTTTAGATTTCTCAACGAGTTTATTAGTCATCTCTCCTAGTGGGTGACCTTGGACGTCGTGATCGGTTATTTTTGTGTATTTTCACACCCTCCAGGCTACTTGCATTGGTACTGATTGTTTCTTTGACCTGAAATTTTACTCTCTGTGTGTGAGATCTCCTTCTTATCGGTTGATAAATTTTCTTTATGTCAGTGTGTCTGTTGAATGCCGATTCACTGAAGTACAAGACACCTTCTAAATATTCTCTAGCATTCTTGGTGCTTCCTCTGTCTAATATTTGAACTCTGGTTGTTCCAGTCGAATTGATTTTCATGGTTGTCTGCATGCAGCGATATAAGCAATGGAGTGGATGTCATGTCTTTTGATGGCTAGCTTATGTTCATGGATACGAAGACGAAGGGGACATCCACTTTGGCCAATGTAGTGTTTTTTGCAGTTGTTACAATTCATTTTGTAGATAATGTTGGTTTCTGTCTTCTTTCGTTGTTGAGTCTTTTGGTTGACATAGAGCCAGCCAGCTGAGTGAATTGATTTTGTTGGTTTGTGTGCAACGTCAATTCCTAAAGGTTTGAAGAGTCTTGCAGTGATTTCTGAGATCTCCTTTATATATGGTAGGGTGGATTTCGTTTTTCTTTCCTTGGGGGCCATTATCATATCTATCCATCATATCTACTTGCTACATTGTTAATTTGTGTATACCTATGAAACTTCATTGTATATAGAATACGATATGATTGGGAAATGTTAAATAGGGTAAAGATTTTAATTTCAGGTAAGACTTATAAGACAGGACTGCAGGCAAACATACAGAAAACGAAGGTGATGTAGATAAACAACCAGCAATAACAGCAACAACAACCAGCAACAACCACCATCAACTGTAGAGATTTGACAGGGGTTACTTCCTTCACTTATCAAACCAAGAGGCATGGTTTCGACCACAGGCAGTCTAAGATGTAGAAACCAGACAGAATCGGAAAGACTAGATACACATTCATCAATTCGAAATCGGTTTTGAAATCTTCTACACTGCACTCAGCCAGCATAAACAGGAAGATTCGAATTTTAAACAAAAATGTTACATCAGTCAGTCAGTTCTTCTACATGGGTCAGAAACTTGACTAGCGTATTACAAAAAGGATTTCCAGCAGGTAACTGCAGACTTATATTAACAGCTGACTGCTCCTCTGGCTGGCTCCATACTGAAGATCAAATGCCAGGCTAGGCAGAAGGGATTAGTAATGAGAAACTCTGGCTAGCGATAAACCGACCAGAAGCCGATCGCTCAACAAATATGTAGGAGAAAATGGAGATGGATCGGACATTCGACGGACATATATACATCCATAGAATGATACCGCGCTCAATGTAGGCTATTGCTCGAGTAGAATCCCAATGGGAAGCGATGAGTGGGCCATCAGTGTGAGGGTTACATGGAGGAGATCATATGAATAGGAGGAGGAGATGAGGGATTATGGGCAATCGTGGACCCGTTTGTAGAGGACAGTAAAAATAGAAGAAAGTTGATATGTGTTGTTGAAGTCGTATGTTCCACTCGGGACCCAAGAGTATAATAATAATATAATAAGACTGATTTTTAAATGGTTAGCAAGCGAAAATGAGGTGGGGATCTCATCAATATCTGCCATCAATTAGAGAATGATTAAAGACAAAACAGCACTGCATATTTGTTTCATCCTGGTTTGAGACTCCTCAAAAGGGTGAATCACTTGTGAATTCTAACATTTTTCAACTCCAGATTTAACTCCACAGATGAGCAACCAATTAACCTTGATAGTCTACGCGACTGGTTATGACTTTTCATTAGATTTTCAAAAGATCCACAGAATAGGCACACAGGTGCGGGAGAATGAAAAAACAATAACACAAGAATATCGGCCCATATATACACACAAAGCTTGATAAGTAAATATGGCGTAGAAAAATATCCTAATGTCTCGTTCATAAATCACTGCCAACATTTATTAATCGAAATGGCAGTGTAGTTCCTTAAGAGGAATTAACACTTGCTATTAAATATCTCGGAATATACACATTTGATCATAGGGAATAAAAAGACAGTTGCAGCGAAGAAAATTTTCTTTTCGACGAAGTCAGCATCAACTAGGCTGTACATTCGTGTATTTATATCAAATGGATGGGAAAGTTCCAGAATAATTTCTGGTTAGGGGTCAAATTAATAAAAATTACAATTAGGAATTAAAATGCCACAATAAACAGGGGGACGGATAAAACTCAAGCAAAGTAGCATAATAACTAAGAAGATTGACATTGTGCAATCAGGGGCTAGAAAAGTAGAAATAGTAAAATGACAAAATAAACAGGAAGTGTGGATATGAAAATATGGTAGTATAGACAGGGATCAAAAAAAGCTTAACTACCATGAATAAACAGGAAGTTTAGATAAGAAAGGCGATGGGATGGTCATTACTAAAAAAATTTACCTGTTTATGAAGGCCATGACAGGGACAGGGGTTGGACGTATTCCTTTTGGATAAAAAGAGTGGGTTTGAGCTTTTGGATAGCTAACGCCTCAACTATGCTCAGATAAAACAAATTACAATTACATGTCCAATCTCCAAGACAATCAAAACCCTGCGAAACAACACTTGTAAAATTGAAGCAGAGATAGAACAAACATTGGCGCAGAGTAACATGCATCCATTTGACTTCCTTGGTTCTCATCAGCTGAATACAAACTAACATCCTTATTAAAATAAGTTTGTGTACAATTTTGACATTATTTCGTCTATCAACAAGTGTACTGCAAGGTATATGTATAATAGGTTAATCGATAGATAGTGACTATCAGCGTAATCCAGGATGAGTATTTCGTCCTATTTTGGACTTGTCATCCGTCGGATGTACCTGCATTTGGTAGGGAGTGATGATGTTCCCACTGAGGAGTTCAGGTACATCCAACTGATGAGTCCCAAATAGGACGAAATTCACATTGACTTGGATTCCACTGCTAGTCACCATCCACCAATTAACTTCTAATTACATGGCCAGACATTGTCGAAACATCCGAGCACAAGATGCCGACATGTCAATCTGAGGTGGAGCACTTCGATCCAATCAATCGGCGGGAAAATCTAAAATTGAATTATATATATTTATATATATATCTTGTTAGAGAGAAGTTCCTCAAAAATTCACTAACAAATTTGTTGTAAGGGTAATAAGAAAAATCTATTAACAATTCCGTAGTTATGTAAGAGAATATCCAAATTCGGTATGCGAGAGGTTAAATGAAAAGATGAGAATGTAATACGGTGAGTAGAACTCAGGAGGTCAAGAAAGTTATCACTTATGCAAGTCAAACGGAAAAAAGTTTCAGTAGGGGGGATTGAAAAAGTTAGTTAATGGAATTAGAAAGCAAAGTGTTACTAAGGGATGAGTCACCAGGGTAACTGAAGTCCAACGACAGATTCCTTTTGAACACACAGGTCAGATTCCAGCGGTTTTATTGCGTTAGCCTCAGTTTTGAATTATGTCAGCGCATCTATTCGGTGTCCGGTGTCTATCAAGAGTTTGGTGATTGAAGAGCTTAAACTGTTTGGCCCGTTTCAAAGAATCTGACGGAGGCACTCCTTGCTTTTCTTTGAATGCAACTGATCCCACATGTAAATGTGAAGTGGTATACACAGTTGAAGGACACACATGAGGGGTACTTGTCGATCTTCGACCGCACCAACTAGGAGGA